CAAAATACCTCGCAAAATGCTGGTCTGGGGAGGCAGAGGCCCCCCCCCCCCAGAATAGTTTAGGGGAAACTGGAGGTCCATAGGGATGGGTGAGGATTGCCACTAATCATCCCCCCCCCCTCCTTGTACCTGCAGAAATCTAGGCAGCTTCCAGGCCATCATCAGCTCAATAAATTCTGATGAATAATGGGCCTTTAGAAATTGGTTGTATTGAACATAAGGAAAGGAGAATACCCAGTAGTCAGCCATTTGATCATATTCTGAGATGTATAGCATTTATACAAGGCTGCGAAATTCATTACAAAAAGAACCCATTGAGTTCATCAGAAGCTGTGCAAAGAACAAGTTGGGTCCCATAAATGTCCTCAAGGTGGGGGAGATGAATAACTGGGAAATTTCCCTTCTGCACACATCTCACCCTCCAGGATGAGACTGATGATCTTCAGCTCTTGAATATGCTCCTTCCCATTTTGATGGTGCTCAGCTGGTGCCTTCCTCTTCTGCGTTTCCCAGAGGAGAATCAGGATGTTCAGACCTTATCCATCTTTTCAGGCATTTGAAACATTACAAATCTTGGGCTGGATCCGGCCAGCTTTTCCACTCCACGTGACTCATGTGATCCCCAGTAGGGTTTGTTTGTTTGTTTGTTTGTTTTGGTGGCTAAAGGAGAGTCTTCATTTCTTTCTCTCCACCCGCAAAGCGGGTTGAATCCAACATGATGGTTTTCTGCATATCTGGGGCATGTTTTTTTTTCCTGCAATTCCTGGCCATGTTCCCCTCACTATTAGAAGGAGTGATGACCCAGATGACTGTGTATGGCTGTCCTTTTTTTAAAAAAGGCAGATAAATATTCACACATGCATTTAAAAGTGAATGTGAAACTCTTTTCCCTCTGCAGCAGGTGATGCTCAAGTGCTGGCTACCCGCAGCGGCTCCCCAGGGTCCATTGACGGGAGGTGCATTCAAGGACCCAGCTCATCCTTTGTCAGAAACCCTCTTCCTGAATTATAACCCAGATGATATCATCCGTATCAACCAGCCTTTTTGTCCTCGCTAACATGAACAAAAAATAAAGCATTTCCGAGTGCCTGAAACTAGAACTGTGTCTCTGTGATTTGGAGTCAAGGAGGGTGTGGCAGATCCTTCGGACATGCCTTCTATAAACCTGTGGTCACATGGCGAGGCAACTGTGCTTTGTTCTGGATATAATTCCCAGAAGAGGGCAACCAGGATGGTGAGAGGGTTGGAGTCTAAGTCTTATGAGGAAAGGCTGAAAGAGTTGGGTGTGTTTAGCCTGGGAAAGGGAAGGCTTAGAGGGGATATGATTGCAGTCTTCAAGTATTTGAAGGGCTGTCATGTAGAAAAGGGAGCGGATCTATCCTCTCTTGCTTTGGATTGCAAGACTAGATCGAATGGGTGGAAATTAGAAGGGAGTCGTTACCGGCTAAATATCAGTAGAAACTTCCTAACTGTAAGAGTGGTTGGGCAGTGGAACAGTCTGCCTCGGGAGGGGGCGGATGCTCCTTCGCTGGATGTTTTCAAGCGGAGACTGGATGACCATCTTTTGGGTATGTTGTCGGGCTATCTTTTGGCTATGCTCCTGCAGAGTGCAGGGGGTTGGACTAGATGACCTGCAAGGTCCCTTCCAACTCTAATGTTCTATGATTCTATGATAATTTAACTCAGATTATTTATTTATTTTGGTTTGGGATGTTCATACATCCCTCCCTGAACCGCAGGCTTTGCACGAGGAGGCTCCGGGAACCATCAGGATGAAGCCGGCCCCTCTCTCCACCACCTGCTCGCCTGTCAGCCCACCCAGCACTTCCTTCCCCGCCTTCCCCCCCAGCAACTTTCCACGCCACCGGCCTAATGCTGCAGGCTAGCTGGGCATGCTCCCCAGCGCTGGGAGATCCCTCCCTTCCTCCCTCCTAATGCTGCAGCTTCAGGGACTCCTAGGGCGGGCTCTTCAGCCCGCTTGCCTGCCAGTTCGCCCACCACTTCCTTCCCCACTCACCAACTTCCTCCCCAGAAACTATCCATGCCACCTCCATGTGGGGGCTCCCTCCCTCCTAACACCATCTCGAGGACTCCTGGGGCGGGCAGGACCATAGGCTTTGTACTGGAGCGTTTAATAGAATTTATTCAGCAAGGGAGTGCTCATGGTGATTCGGTCTTTGACAACTCTGCCTCAGGGCAGACAAAATTTTAGTGAATTGGACATTGGCTGTGAGGCATTTGCGAGCCACTTTGCAGATAAAGTCCTGGCACTCCGCCGCGACCTCCCCGCCACAATTGATACAGTT